GGTCACTTGCTCAAAATTGATAATCCATTCCTCAAAAGCAAGTATTCATGTCAATGAAACTGCCAGTGTCATCAAAATGAGAAGTCGTGACACCATATTTATGAACAAGATAGTCAAATGGCTTGTCATGTTTTCATTATGACAGTGTACAGTATTCTCTCAGTGTTTTCCAATGCAAGAAAAGGTCAGAACTTGGTGACACTACCTGAAAATGCTCAAGAAAATGCTCCACCCTCTCCATGACTCTGCTGTGATGTTGTCACATGCTGCATCCATGGCTGCTAGCAGGGCCATTTGCACATGTGAATGCCAGTCATAAAACTTCCACCTCCAGGCAGAGAAAAACTCCTCTATCGGATTAAGGAATGGGGAGTAGGGAGGGAGCTATTGAACCAGCATTCTGTCATGTGCTGCAAACCACTGTCTGACCAGATGTGAGTAGTGAAAACTGACATTATCCCACACAACAACATACTTGTTGAGTTGGCCTCCACCCCTCTCATTCTCAGGGATTATGTCCCTGTAAAGAGTGTCTAAAAAAGTCAGGAGATGTTGTGTATTGTATGGGCCAAGAAGGGGAATATGGGTGAGAATGCCATTGTCTGAGATGGCTGCACACATTGTAACATTCCCTCCGCGCCGGCTTGGGACATCAGTGGTTGCTCTCTGTCCAATGCGATTTCTTCCACGCCTTCTGCCTTTGGCCAGATTGAAACCCGCATCATCAAAGTATATTAATTACAGCGCTTTGAATTTCTTTCAACTTTATTGCATTGTTTGCAATCACCATTGCACAAATGGCTTCATCTTGCTGCGGGGTAAAAAAGGGCCCTCTTCTACCTCTGCGAGGTTGTCTTTCAATCCGTTGTGGTGCAGATTACAGTAAAATTACAATAATGTACACTAAACATGATATTACGAGATGTTGGATTACTGTCCAATACTATACTATACATACCTGTTCTCCCTACGAAATGTTTAAATGATTAAATTCACAGTGGTTCTTCCAACACCCTCCGACCAGCCTCATCCATTGTGAGGCCGTGATTGACAACATGGTCAACAAGTGTTGCCCTAATTTAATTAGGAATCTGCCTATATATGGCATCTTTTCCCTCTTCCCCTTATTTTGTCCCCCCCGCATCCTCACCCCTCTTCCACGATGCTGACCTTCCATTTCTGTGTCACAGAATTGTAGAAATGGTACACACTATGTCCTGCTCGGTTCATATATGCTTGCCAATTGAGGGTTCATGGGATTGATCCATGAGTGACTGTGAACAAGTGGCTTGTCATTGGTTACAACTAATACTTTCCACACCTCCTCATCAGTGAAAGCTGAAGTTCACCTGAGAGAAATTGTTCTATTTAGGAGACATTTCCAGGAAAAATAATAACAAAAGGTATAAAACTTTCTGGGCAGAATTTGATAACTAAGTCACCAATTTTGTATGTAATGACTCCAGGAATTAAACTATTAGTTTTATTGGGAACGACTATTCAGCATCCGAAAGTAGAGTTTATTAAGCAAATGATAATGTTATAAAACGGCAGAGAATTGTATGAAAGCAACTGATACATGTACAAGAGCATTTGCAATTTGTTCAGAGGAAGGAGAAATTGCAACTATGATGTGTACAAATGACTAAATGTTGTGGAGGTTGCACTAATGGTTTTGAGAATTTTCTGATCTGAGAAAAGCACCAAAGCAACTGAGAAAAACTGTAAATAAACTGTGTTGGATCAAGGACACATCTAAAACCTGCAGGACAGCCCTTGAGGCCTGGAGTTCCCCCGCACCTGGTCTAGATTGAGAGCGGCTGCAAAGACACATGCTCTGCTCCAAGCAGTCGATGTGCAGACTGACAGTCCAGGCATTGTCTGAAGTTCCCCATGAGTCCCGTTGAGATAAATGCACATTCTTCATGCATCTGACAGCTGGCGTTGTTCACTAAGATCGCGGCAAATTTGCTTAATGACTAAGACTATGTCTTAAATGTAACGTTTAGCACAAGAAACAGTTATATTTTTTTCTTTATAGTTTTAGAATTTAAAAAAAATTAATGTCAGTAGTTCACTGTAAAATAGACTCAATAATATCCAGTCAAATAGATTGGCTTTATTAATTAGACACATGGATTTGTGTCTTAAATCTCTAGTACATATACAGCATATCTGGCCCACCAGAGCATTAAACCACAGGTGACACAAGTAACACCAACTGTCAGCCACCTACTCTTGAGATGCCTTTCCAGGCACCTCAATCCCCATTCACATCTTGTGTCAGGTGATCTGAATGGGTCATATGATAGGGTGAGGTAAGGTCTCACAATTTCTTCACCCAAAGCCTCTGCTGATAATGACCCACACCCTTTTTCACACCTTGGCGCATGTGGTGAGGCACATGATGAATAGTGGGTCAGTGACCCTCTTAAGGGACAACTCCTACTAGGGATTAAATACCTGGGACTCACCAACACTGGGTTTCTGATCCAATCCAATCAAATCCAACTTTATTTATAAAGTGCTTTAAAATACCCAGCACGGGACCAAAGGCCTGTACAGTAAATAAGTTAAGAACAATAGAATAAAACAAAACAGCAAAAAATAAAACACATAATATATAAAATTAAAACAGCCCTTTATTAAAAAACAAGAAACTTAAAGAAGGCCACTCGCTTTCTTTCTTTCCCTTATACCAGGGGTGGGCAACTCCAGGCCTCGAGGGCCAGTGTCCCTGCAGGTTTTAGATGTGTCCTTGAACCAACACAGCTGATTTAAATGGCTAAATTAGCTCCTCAACATGTCCTGAAGTTCTCCAGAGGCCTGGTAACAAACTAATCATGTGATTCAGGTGTGTTGACCCAAGGTGAGATCTAAAACCTGCAGGACACCGGCCCTCGGGGCCTGGAATTGCCCACCCCTGCCTTCTACTGTCCAGTGGTTCCCAATCCCAGTGAACAGTAACACACACACACACACACACACACACACACACACACACACACACACACACACACACACACACACACACACACAAAACGTTGTGGTTGGTTGTAGCCACACTGTGCATTATGGTCAACCACGTCCACTTGTCTGTCCAAACATTACTGTTCCAGAAATCTTGTTAATTGCAGATGTAACAGATGTAACTTTGCAAATCTAAGCTGTATTGCGATCTTCATTTTTAGCGAGAACAAGCATCCTGGAAACCATTCCTAACAAGTCAGTTTAGTTTTTTCTAATTGCACTGTCATGAGCTTTAACATTTAATGTGTTAACTGAGGTCTATAGACTACCAGATGAGTTTTTATTGTGCCTTGATATGAAAACTCTTAAAACTGACTTTCTTTATGCCATGACTGTACTGTAGCAATACAAATTAAATGAAAAGACAATACAAGACTGCTATGAAAGTAAATGCTGAGGAACATGCTTAGTCTACTCCCTATTCTAAGAAATGTTAAATGTGAAATTGATTGTCTTATAGTAAATGAAAAAAGTAGAAAATGAAAGAAACTCCCAATGACTTTAGATCAATTAACAAATGAATTTGTTCAAAATCATTCTTTTATTCTTTACACTCTTATGCAATACTACTTACACCAGGACATTCAGAATAAACTGACAGTCTTGCATGAAGCAACCCTACAAGCATTTCAGAGAAGAAAAAAGAGATACAAAAATATATACAAAAATTCTCTAGCCACCCCTCATTTCCTGATATTTTGCTTTCAATTGGCTAGACTTCCATTTTTGGTTTTTATTTTTTTATTTTTTTTATTTCTTTGTTTTCCAGGCTTTCTGAAAGTCCCTCAAAGCTTTTCTTCAGACATTGCACTGGATCATTTTCTGAATTTTTGGATTTCTGAATTTTTTGAATGTTTTTAAGACACTTGCCTAAAAAGGTACAAGTGAAAAACCATTGTTGTGTCTACACACAACAGACAACTTAGCAATGAACCTATTTTACGCAGACATATTGTTATTAGAACCTACCACCCTGTTTCTTTATTTAAAACTGTGAAAAATGCCAAATAAAATACAATTTGACAGACAGAAAATAATATTTCCAGAGGTGGTGAAAGCTTGACATGAGAGGCGGTAAAGTGTGTCCTGTAAAAATCTGAGGAAACTGGACAAGCAGAGCACAAAAACATAAGTGGCAGGGCTGAAACAGTTAAACTGATTCTGAAAGTCATGCCCTTAAATAACTGGAACAAATCCAACAAAGACCTAATACAGAACCTGAGAGATGCACCTGACACCTGGTGATCCATCTACTGTTCACTGAAGTGTGGGATCATGTTGAAAGAAAGATAGTGCAGAACAAAAGACAGCCAGCATCCAGAGAAGAACTTGTAATGTCATTCAATGAGCCTAAAGTTATCAAAGTATTCCTGAAGAATACTTCAACAAATAACAAGAAAGCTTGTCTAAGAGAGTTCATGCTGTGTTGAAGAATAAATGTGCTCAAAGCAAGGATTGACTTTCAAGCTTGTTAGAATTGCAATGAAATGTAGGGTGGCCCAAGACTTTTGCAAAGTCCAAAAGTCGTAAAGTAGATTACGATCCATAGTCTAAATAGTTTAGTGTGTAACATGGCAATGTCATGTATATATATATATATATATA